TTTTTTTTTTTTTTTTTTTTTTTTTACTTTTTAAAGAAGTCCTGCTTTAGCCTCCACAAATTCCTCACGATAAGTGACTTTCTTCCAGGTCAGAAGTGGGTGGTAGTTGAGACCAAAGGTCTGGATGAGGCAGAAGCTCTGCCTTCTGTCTGGAAGAAGTGGAGTTAACTCTTTCCTACTGGTTCCATCTCTGGTAACTGAGAAATGCATTAATGGGGTAGTTGTAGGGGAAACGTGGATCAAGAAACAAGGCATGGTTGTTACGTCTTGTAACTTTCTGTGGTTTGTGTGCACATGGAAGACTAGATCCCAGCTGGCCCAACATTCTGTATCCGTAGGTTTCATTATTTCCTTCCCACCCAGATGCAGAACAATATGCTTGTCACCATCTGATGTGCTTAATTTAGCGGCATTCATTCTCTTCTAGCTTTATCCATTATACGTGTTGGTCTGAACAAAATTCCATGTAGATTGTATAAGTGCACAGCATCCCTTAACTAAGTAAAAGCTTTGGAGGAATCATCTGGTCAAGAAACCAATTATTGAAAGAACTTGGACAGATGGGAGCCCTTCTAGGACCTGCTTGGACTACAAGTCTCGTCTGCATTCTAAATTTTAAACTATTTTCTAGCAAGTTTTAAACATTAAAACTCACCTCTTTAATCCTGATCAGCTTCTGCTGCAGGACACGAACATCCCGGGTGTGTTCTTGCTGCTTCCTGCTCACTTCCCCCATCTTCTGCAAGGCCACCTTCATCCTGCAGGGACAAAAGGAGTTTCAGTTAGCCTTGCAGGATTTCTCATTTCAGTTCCCTCCCCAATGATTTCAAACGTGCATCTATCTTTTATTTTACAGGAACTGCACACTAAGAGCGTAGGAACTGTCGTGGGGGATCAAGCCAAGGCCCGCCTTCGTCCAGCACTTGCTTCTCGGTGGCCAACCAGAAGCCTCCGGGGTGCCGAGGAGCAGACGGAGACACGCCTCTCCCTCAACACTGTTCTCCTGCAGTGGTCCTTAGAGGCTAGCTGCCCCCAAGGCTGGTCTTCAGTATATTTGTGAAGGTAGGATTTTTGCCACAATATGCATCTTACACTAACCTAAACGGAACCACATTTTGCCAGCTGTCTGAACCTTCATCTAATTTAAAGAGATGCTTTTGGACCTCTTCACAATCGCTCCTACTTGTTGCCACTCTACAAGCTGGACTAGCTCATTGTTTACCCTTATTCAGCATATATTACCAAGGCTCGGTGAGCAAGGGCAGGGTGGTTCCTCTGTTCGAAATTTGTCTGGGAAGGTTTTGGGTGGTGTGCCAACCTCTGTGCCAGGGGTGGGTGGAAGGTAGCCAGCCATTATATCCCACAAAAACTTTGAAGGTGGCCAAATCTATTGTTCTGCAGGTGACCAGATGTGAGATTCTGTATGTGGAGTTTGGAAGCAGGAACCATGGCTGCTTAGCACACTCCTTTCCAGAGTTCCTCAGCCTCATTGCTGGGCTGGTAAAGGAACTCTCACCCATGCTTTATACACTGGGGATTTCGGCTTCCATGCCCTGGGGGTGAGGTCAGGGGCAGCTGGGCCTGTTCCAAGCCCTCACAGTCCCGTATCGCAGCGTGGGATCAGACCTCACAGTCTCCTCATTCTTAGGCATGAAAGCTGGCTGGGCAACTTTGGGCCAGTCCCTCTCTCTCCACCCAACCCACCTCACAGGGCTGTTGGTGTGGGGAAAATAGGAGGCAGTGTTAGGTATACTCGCCACCTTGAGTTGACCATATACATATATAGGCAGGATAAAATAATAATATGATGATGATGACAACGACGACAACGGACACTGCAATACCTGGAGACAGCAGTGAGAAGAGAACGAACTGGAGAAAATCAGAAGATACAAAGACCTGCAAGTGGAAGTAGAACGACTGTGGCAAAAGAAGGCAAAGATAGCCCCAGTAGTTATAGGCGCCTTGGGTCCCAAAACATCTGGAGCACCCC